TTTCTAGAGGAAATGCAAGAGTCACTTCGCTTCCATCTAAATGTAAAAACAAACAAATAAAAAAAAAAACACAACCAACAACCTCCTTTAACGTTATTTTTTAAAACCTCCCATCAAAACTGTAGAGTACCCTTTCTATTTTGAATTAAGCATTAGGATATATGGATTAAAGTGTTCCTATTATTTTGCTAGGCAAATTACTTGTATTACTTTACGTTTATTAACTGCTACTTCTTCAAATTAACGAGGCTAGATTGTGCCTGTAAATCTATTACTGGCTTTGTGACAGCACATACGCTATAAATATCATACATAACACAAGAATATTGTGGCTCCTACACTGCTGAAAACAAATCTTCTCTCAACTGCCCCCTTGTACCAACTTCTCACTCCATGACAGAGAGATTCATGATAACAGGAATTACTGGGGCAGCCAAAATCTGTTTTGTGGATTCACATCATCCTATGCATTCAAAGTTAGTCACTGTATTACGAATACTTAAGAACTGATGCCTGGTTAGTTACCTTTAGGAAAATAAGATGTATTTTTTATTTTTATTTTTGTATTTTTGGTTTAATTGCAGACTGAAATTGCTACATGGGAAGCACTTGAAAATGTTGAGAAGTTTGGAATACAAACAAATGAAAAACTGAAGTCATTAACAAACCGTTTGTTGTACCTTACTCTGATTGTTCCGTGGTGAAGGATTTTAAGTTACTTTTGTAGTACTGTTTAGGTGTGTGGAAGTTTCTAGAGGAGCTGATCTGATTCTGGCATGCCTTACTATCTACAGTCAGATTTTAGGTATTTTATACTTGAATTACTTTCAGTGTCAAACTGATGGCTCATGTCAATGCCCTCCAAAACCAGCAAAGGCAACAAGTTTGGTCATTCTTGGATAGGCACTGTGTACGTGCTTACATTCGAGTAAGTCCACTGAATTTTTTGACTGGGAGGCTGTGCACTCGGAAAGTTTCTGCACCATAATAAGTAGCTAGAGGTAAGTAATAGCACAATTTGAACTCTGATTCAGTTCAGAAGGACACAGGTGGCAGCAGAGATTAATACAGGGTACTGCACCAAAGCACTTTCTTTCCTCACCTGACTGTAAGCGCTCAGGCTTTTAGCTTTCCTTCTACAACACTGCTGGTTCCTGGTGGTGTCTTTATCTTTAGATCAACACTTACCAGCAACTTTTTTTTTCCTGCATTTATTTTTTAAAACACTTTAAAATTCACTTCCAAACCTTTTTCTCCAAGAAAACAGATTAAAAAAAAAAAAAAAAAAAAAAAAGAGAGAAATTGCTTGTACATAAATTTGCTGAGAGTAGCCAGAAAAAAGCTAAGAGCTTTTTGTCACTTTCTCAAGATGCCCGCCTGCCATTTTCTCTTGCTCTGTAGCAATCAATGAAAGTTAAAAATAAATTCAAGGGTAAGAAGGCTTTTTTTTTTTTTTTATTAATGGAACAAAAACAAGCAAAAACAAGAGAAAGTTAACCAAAACAGGTTAGGAGTTTATTCCTTAGAGTAACCCTAACAGCGCCGACAGCCATCAGCTTCCAGGGCCTCTACGATTAACCCGGGGAGACTCACAATATTTCAATCCTGCAGCCAACTTGTTACTGAAGTGAAAGCTCAAACAGATTTTAGCTTGTGCTTCTTTACTTTTAGGTCCTATGGCATTGCTGCATGTACATACTGATACTTTTCTCCTTATTCAGCTAAATGCAAATTAATCATGACCTGTAGTGATCTAAACCATCACAGTGAGCAATGCAAGAAACAAAAAGCGTGTTTTCAGTATTGGACTTGAAAGCTTTAATGCTGACAATTATTTCAAGGCTGTGCAAGTGCATTCATATAAACAAAACATTTGAAATCTATTTGTGGGCTTCTCCTAAGAGCACATGAGATTCTTCCTTTAAAACAAAACTGATTGAACCATGATTTCTGAAAGCGATTGCTAATGAAATGAGGTTGGGTGCAAGAGGTGGACACAGTGCTACAGAAGTGTTTGGGTGACATCAAGGCAGGAAAGGGGCCAAAAAGGGGCCAAAGAGTGTTTTTGTTTTTTTTTTTTCTTCTCCCAGATTTTCCACTGAAGCCCGAAAAATCAGATTCAAGATTCAGATTCTTGATCCAAACCAAGGCATCTTAACTCAGTCAGGGAACACAGCTATGACACTAAATCAATATTGCTCTGTTATGTTTGCTAGACCTGTGCTATTGGTAGGAACTTAGTAGTTAGCCTAAAACAATCACAGTCAATTCATTCAGGATATGTGACTTAACTCGAGTGTTACAGACATTCAGAGCACATCAGTACTGCATTAATTCCAGCCGTGAACAAATCAGAAGAAATCACTATCTGACATGCATTCCTAAGAAGTAAATCCAATTTATATTAGTATGCATTGCAATAACACGCATTTACTACGTACTAATAGTACAGTACATAGTGCCATGCATATATAAGAAGTTCTAAATATCATGCTTGAAGGTATCAGATCTTCATGAACAATAAATACACAGATAGAAAGTTAAGCTAATACTAAGTTTTCCCAGCACTTCTCAGTGACAAACAAACAAAAAGAAAAAAAAATCTCCAACTTGGCAAACCTTGGCTGTGGTTTGATTCTCTGACTTTACAAGGTGAACTCATTTCAGTAGGTGGGCTGTGTTTTTATTTATTTACTTACTGACAATTGTCTTTTGGTGTGCTGTAAATAACTGTTGGAAATAGCCACAACAATAGGTGACACATTAACAGTGAATCAATTTGCTGCTGAGAACTGGTGAATAAGAGTTTGTAAAACTGCCCAGAGCGATATGCAAATGTTTTCAATTAACATTCAATTGTCTGAGGACAAGTTTTTCTTACAAAATCTTGGATGCTCTAGCACATGTTTAGATCATAGGAGTGCTCATGGATATGTGTTGCCTTGCACCAACGCAACTTTTATGCAAGGACTGAACCTCAAATCAAAATTTCATGTCAGTAGTGATGTTTGCATGTGAAGGTTAATTTTAACTTGAACCATCGTGTCAACATTTGCATCAGAGTGTTAACAAAAGCCTTTTCAAAGGTTGATCAATAAAAGAGTTCCTTGTTTATTCTTGTTAAAACAAAGGGAATTATGTTTACAGGGGTATAAATACCAGCAGTCTGGAGAGTTCACTGTAAAGTTTAAATAATTACAGCATAGGAATGTGATGGGGAAAAGTGTCTTTCCCAAAACAGATGGCAAAATAATATATTCTATACAGTTAGCACATTCTAAGGCTCCCTGGGAATTAGTTCAAACAAACTTGGAAAACAAGAACGTACGTGCAGCCAGGGAAAGGAGGTATAATGTTGCCCTAATTTTGGAAAAAGGATTGATTGGATAAGAGATCTGGGTCAGTATTACCTACTGCAAAGACCAGAGAAGTGAAAGAAATCAGAAACGCATGGAGAACTTTGCTAACCTGCAGTATACGTACTGCTGTAAGAGGCAGAGGCTGTCTCTTCATCAGAAAGGATTCATGTTTGACAGCGCAAACATAACTAGTATTTTGTTCTAAACATTATCTTCTCTCCCTCTTTGGTGGGGAGAGGTTAGGAAAAATTTAAGTGGAGATATAAATACTTTGGCATTTTAAATCCATTTTGAGGCCTCCTAAGATGCACAAAGGAATTAATCCTGTCATAAACACTTTTCTTCATACATATTTATATAGCACACGAAAAGCTGCTTCAAAGCTTCTCTGCTATACGTGGGCAAAACTGAATTTTCCTGCATAAAGATAAGAGGAAAACAACTTAGAATCACTGCACAGCCCCATTCAAAAGGGACCTCTACAGATTATTAGGTCCAACCTGATGGAAGCAAATGGAGTCTAGATGAGATTATCTCGCACCCTTTCCAACTTGCACCTTGAAAACCTCCAGCATCACGGCGATTATTCAGTCACAATCCCCATTTCTCTCATTGTTTTCCTTTTTTAGCTGGTGCTGGTCTGCTAGAATCTGGGTAGAGAGGTGTCTTCTGCGCTGTGCTCAAGGGCTGAGAGGAGAGCAGGTAGTCGAAGCTCCAGTTTATTCAAAATCCAGAGGATGAGAAGAGCAGCTCTTCCCAGGCACAGTAGTTGACCCTGAATTTCACAGAATCACAGAATTTCTAGGTTGGAAGAGACCTCAAGATCATCGAGTCCAACCTCTGACCTAACACTAACCAGTCCTCCACTAAACCATATCACTAAGCTCTACATCTAAATGTCTTTTAAATACCTCCAGGGATGGTGACTCCACCACTTCCCTGGGCAGCCTGTTCCAATGCCTCACAACCCTCTCAGTAAAGAAGTTTTTCCTAACATCCAACCTAAACCTCCCCTGGTGCAACTTTAGCCCATTCCCCATTGTCCTGGCACCAGGCACGTGGGAGAACAGGCCAACCCCCACCTCACTACAGCCTCCTTTAAGGTATCTGTAGAGAGCGATAAGGTCGCCCCTGAGCCTCCTTTTCTCCAGGCTGACCAAGCCCAGCTCCTTCAGCCGCTCCTCGTAGGACTTGTTCTCCAGGCCCCTCACCAGCTTCGTCGCCCTTCTCTGGACCCGCTCAAGCACCTCGATGTCCTTCTTGTAGCGAGGGGCCCAAAACTGAACACAGTACTCGAGGTGCGGCCTCACCAGAGCCGAGTACAGGGGGACGATCACTTCCCTAGCCCTGCTGGCCGCACTGTTTCTTATACAAGCCAGGATGCTGTTGGCCTTCTTGGCCACCTGAGCACACTGCTGGCTCATATTCAGCCGACTGTCCACCATCACTCCCAGGTCCTTCTCTGCCTGGCAGCTCTCCAACCACTCATCTCCCAGCCTGTAGCTCTGCTTGGGGTTATTGCGCCCCAGGTGCAGGACCCGGCACTTGGCCTTGTTGAACTTCATGCAGTTGACCTCAGCCCATCGGTGCAGCCTATCCAGATCCTCCTGCAGAGCCTTCCTACCCTCGAGCAGATCGACACACGCACCTAACTTGGTGTCATCTGAATTTATAGTTATTCAGGAGAACAGAAAGTCCTGAATGAAGACCTGGATGTCCCCCCAAAATGAAAAATTAATAGAAGAATAAAGGGGTTGCATCTTTCTTTTCTTTTCTGAGTTTGAGATGTTTGGCAAATTCTGATGTTTGTTATTTTAGCTCAATTTAGACTTGTTCTCTTTTTGCAGTTCCCTGTCAGTTACTGCAGTAAATGCTCTTTTAATTTGCAGAAGCAGCTGATGGCTACCCCCAGCAGCACAACCCTGCTTTTCCTTCTTTTTTTGAAAACACTATAATGTCCAAACACTTCAGCCTTAGAACAAGTAACTCAGCAAGCTCAGTTTCATCTTTGTCATCTTCAGATCCAGAAGAAAAAAAATAAAGGTTCCTCTTTTTGGGGGGAGGAAATTGGCCTTGTAGCCGGAAACATCCCAAAGGAGCCATTTTTACTGATTTTGCCTTATGCTCAAAATCCTTTTTCTTGACAAGTTAAACATGTCATTTGAATTGTGTACACAGCACATGAGACATGTTCCTTTACTTCCAGAACTGTGTTATAACTGCTGCCAACCAAACATCTGTGGAATAATTGTCTACTTCGTCAACTAGTTCGATTTTCTTTTATGAAAGAAAATTTGGACATATGAGTGATTCTGCTCCAGCACCACATTTGCAAGTTTTATGCTTCCTAAAGTAGGATGCCATGACTTACAAGCTAGTCTTTATTTTTTTTTCTTTCTTCTGCAGTGACAGCTGTTGCATAATTATTCTTGTTCCTTTCTGATTTGTCCCCAAGTCAAAATTAAGTTGTCAAGGAGTAGTGGATTTGGCTTACCAGTTAAGGTCCGGGCAGGAAAGCAGCTCCAGCAAGCCTGACCTACTACTAAATGTTTGTGGCCAAGAGCCAAAAGGTATGATTCTCTGAAAGTTAATCACGAGGTGTTGTTTTTACTCCCAACAAATTGCTCAGCAGCTCTTCTCCCCCCAGGATCACTTAAATAGCAGGCTCAGTTCATGCAGAGATGAAATTTCATTTCCCTGTGCAAGAGCTGCTCCTTTAGAAGATGAGATTTACCCTATTCCTGTCCAAGAGAAGCATTAAGGTTTGTATCATCAACAACCAGGGATTACAGGTTTTCAGAAGACATGTGTGGTGAGTTGTTAATCCTACAGGGCAGATTAGGGCCTAGGTAGTCACAGAAAACAGCAAAGTCCATCTTTTTCCCCTGTTCAGTGGCAGGCTTAACTACTTTTTCCCCTGGAGTTTCAAAGAAAAATCAAAGCCAATCCAAAATCCCAGCTGATCAAGGTATGGTTTCACTTGGTAACTTGTTCCCACTGAAAGAAGGGTGCTCTCCTCTTTTCTTTCTTTTCTGCAGGTCCTGTGCCTTGCTGTACTGACCCCGGCTTCTACAGAGACAAATCGGCTCACTTCAATTCACCGCACTGTGGCAGTCCTGCAAAGTGAGGAATACAGAGCTAGGAGCAGGAGAAAAAGGGAAACAGAGTCTGAACTCCAGTGCATGTGGCTCTAAAACCAACTGATGCATATTTCTAAGTGGTCATTGTAAAGTTGCTCATAAAACATAAAAACTCCATGTAAGGATTTTCCTTAGAAGCTCCAAAGCCAAGGAATTATTTCCTCTTATTCCATGTGAAACACCTATTATTTATTCATCTGGAAGTTTTAATAAAATTAAATGGATTGAGGCAGCCATACAAACCCCAGCAAGTAGCTTTGGTATGTGTATAGCAGACCCAAACGGGCTTGCAGACCACTGCAGATTCACAGAGAGCAGATGACTGAATTCTCTCAGGCTACCCCAACTTAAAAAGAAAAGATTTTTCTGCCCCTCTGCCAGTCCCAACTCATTCAATCTTCTTGGACCCCATCTTGCTTTGCAAGTTCCAGTAACATGTGGCAGCGCATTAACAGGGTTTGGGAAGAGATCCGCTCAGCAGGTCTTTTTCAGGTCTGCTTTTCTTTCCTTTAGATGGTGAAAGGTAGATTGATTTGTGCTGGTACTTTGGCCGGTCCCTGGCTTCCCATTTGCTTCTTCACAGATTTTATGAAGGACACGAACTGCGTGGCTGCCAGACTTTTATGACTTCATCTGTAACATTTACCGTGTGCCTTCCCCAGTTTGAGCTTGTTTACTGCAGTGTCAGTCTCCGCCAGAAAAGGTGAAGGTTATTTTATGGCTATGCAGACGATTGCCTTGCTCTCAGTACTGCCTGTAATGTCCCCTGATTTGCCACACAGCTTCCCGAAATACACTTTCCAGGGACTCCTGATGACTTCCCATGCTGTTCGCACTTTGCCATCTGCTGCCCTTATACCACTGTCACAAGGCATGGGTCTTTTGGAGAGATGGAGCGAGAAAGTCCTTTTTTTTTTTTGCATTCAGTATCCCCTTTGTCTGCCTCTGAAGCCATCATTTTTCATGTTCTGGAGTCTTTCAGAGTGTGCAATACAGAAAATAGCTCCTGTGCCTACAATGGATGCTGCCAAAGATGTAATATTGTGTCCAGCACACAGAAGAAAAAAAAAAAAAAAAAAAAAGAGGCATGACAAGAATCCAGGCAAGAACATGAGATAAGAAACATTCCCCTGTACGCTCTATCATAACATCAGGAACTTTACAGTTAAGACTGGGGTCTTTATTTCTTTATATTATAAAGAAGGAGGCAGCAGCACTTGCAGCAGAAGAGAGCCTTTGGATGCAAGGAGCCACCAGGACCAATGAGGTGGAAAACCAGTTACTAACCTAAGCAATTTGGATGGATTTCAATGACTGCAAAACAATAATTTGCAGAGCAGCACAGAGACCACTGGCTCCTCAAAATTTCCTTGGTATTTTAATTAAACTGAAAGTGATAGATCCCTCTCCTAAAACCCCGCCCAAGTTGCTTTGTCAGAGAAAAAAAATCCTTCAGCATTGCAGAGAAATGATGTGCGGGTCCCAAAGAAATTCCCCGAAGGGCTTAAAATTCATTTGGAAACAGATATGGCCTCCAGATCCTAGGGTAGCACATTAAGCAAAAACATACTTAAATTTGTTAATTGTTTCATACAGTATTGAGTTGCTGTGGGAGAATACTGGAGCTTTCCAGACGTTATTTAAGCCTGCATCCCCACTGCTCTTTGAAAGTGATTATCAACTTATTTCTCCCAAAACTATTATCATTGTCACAGCTTCCTTGTCACACGCTGCTCAAATCTGACATGAATGGAAAGATTTTGTTTGCAAAGTGGAACGTTTTAACCTCAAAATAGTGTGCATATGTGTTATACGTGAGCATATGTACTTAGAGGCACATCAAAAAAATCTGGCATAATATGCTACATTATTTCCTATGCATTCTGTACAATTCAGTAGAAGAAGTTTGCCCAAATCTCATGTTTTAGGGGTTGTTGAATAGGGAGTCGAAAAACACTGAGCATTTATGACCAAATATTGTCAGAAATAGTTCAAGTAGCTGCCAAAGTATATGAACAAAGTATTTTCGGATGTGCAGTCCTGCCTGCTTTCAAGTGCATTGTGTTTCTTCCCTCACCTGCTGCTGAACCGCACCTTTGTCATGCCACACATGCATCTCAACTGTTTGATTTCATGACTGTTATAAAATTATATAGCAAATTAGTGGACTTGACTGCTATCTGTGAGCAAATTACAGCTGCTTGACAAAATACCATCTTTATGATTAAATTTTGTCAAATTGCTTTGAAAAAAAAAAAAATAAAATAATGAAGTCAGGAAGTCACAACAAGAGACACCACCTTTGCTTGTAGGCATTTCTTGGGATTTCTTCAGTAAACTTTGGGTGAGGATCATCCTTTATATGACACTTGCAAATTCCATAAACGACTTTATAGCTAGATTGGTTTTTCCTAAAATGCAGCTATCTTCAGTGCTTTTCTGTACCGCCTGCAATAAGCCCCAGTACACCTCTGAAAGAGACCCCAGTATGTTCTTTTCTATGTACACCATGCCTGAGCAGTAACATCTTTTGTTATAATCTATTACCTCTGGAAGGAGTTTCATCTCTCTCCATTCATATGAGGATGACAAAGAGGGAATGACAATTCCCAATTCCTCCTGATGACTGTCATCTTACAGGAATCTATCCCAGAGACCTAACAAACCAGAAATGTATGGTTTTTGAAAGTTTTTTGGGCTAAATTGGAGAATTTATTAAGCCCATAGCTAAACCAAGTGAAGAAAACTTATACACAGAATTATGCACAGAAATTTGATTTTGAATTTATGCCTGCCAGGTTGCTTTTTGCTTCTTTTTCTATGTATTTTGAAGTATGTGGAACTGATCTTAAACCGCAAAATAAAAGAACATTGCTACTCCATTGCATCCAACAAACTCAGTGCTACTGTACAGCTATCAGTGAATATTTAACTTTTTTTTTCTTTTTAATAGAAAACTAATGTCTCAAGATCAAATGGGGAAGAAACCTACACCAAGTTTTCAAGAAACAGAGAGCAAATATTTTCTCTGTCATGACTGAACATGAAAACTGTCTCAATATTGTTTTCAAGCACTCAAGAGTAATGGACACAGACTCTGAACTACTTCCTCTTTTCTGAAGAGCAGCCCGTTATGGGAGAGCCTTGATGGGGAACTATTTAAAGTTTTAATGAACATGGCTTTACCCATGGAGCAAAGAGAAGGAAGGAAAGCAATTTAAAAGAATGAATGCAAAGCATAAAACCAGCAAAGGAGCATCTTTCAAGTTAACCCTCACTCACGCCAACACTGGTCCATCCACCTCCTATTCTCATATGAAGAGGAAACCTGGTGAGGACAGAGTTTTGCTGTCAGTCATTCCTGACAGCACTACAAAAGTGCACAGGCAGCCCCAGGAGCTGCCCAAGCCAGCAGAGGATGCTTAACCATCCTCTTCAATAAAATAAGGACAGAAGTGTGACCACTTGTGATGGAAACACACAGAAGCATGAACGCCTGCACGCTCAGATGTTTAACACATGAAAATGTTGACTTTGATGGTATGCAGTAAGTCTCCGTATCGTTGGCTAGAACTGCCTGGTGTCTGCAGCAAGAATCACTTGACACTGGCTGTCCCTACAAAACCAGTATAATTTGTGAAAGCTACAAAATGTGTATTTTTTTTTTATTGTTCTCTTCTCTCACTCTCTGGAATGAGATTTTAGTATTTGTTATGAAATCATTATTACCAGGGAAAAGATATATAACACCTTCTCCTCTCAAAATAATTGATAGCATAATAACTGTCATCGTTGTGAATGGCAGAAATAGGAGTGACAGACAAATGGGATTTGCACCTGGAAATTCTTTCTTGAGCATGTTACAGCTACTCCTCTCACAACAGGGGTGGAAAGCACAGTGGAAGAAGCACAGCTGTGTGTGTGTGAGCTGCATAAAGCTCAGTGCTGAGGATCTTTGGTACCTTGAAGCACACGGGTTCCTGTGTTAAGAGTTCTGACATCAGATACTTACCTTTTGTTGAGAGCATCAGATAGCTGAAGAGGAAAGGGTTGTTTTGTACTGGAAAACGTGAATTCTGGTATTTATTCCTGTGTCATTCAGGAAATAAACCATTTAATGTGCATCTCATGTCCTGGCCAAGGAAATGGATACCGACATTTGGCTGTGGCTGTAGTTTTTATGTGCCCACAAGTACATTTCAGTTCATTTATGGAATATGTAGTTAAGTGATCACTGAATAACAGCTTAAATACACAAAAATCAAGCTTTTCTAATGCAGCAATTGCAAACACATAATGTCGCCTGAAAAAAATCACCTGGAAATACAGAGCTGATTCCACAGATAACAACCAGGGCTTCCCCTCTGCTTTCAGCTTCTGAAGGACTTCTCTCTTCAGCGTCATAGAAAAGCTCTCATGATTTCAATGTGTGTTTACTTCCCTTCTCACTTTAGTATTTAGTCAGCCATTTTCAGAGAAGTCACGGACAACTGAATCAAGTGTTTGGTTATTTTAACTTTTCTCCAAAGCCTGGAGAGGACTAAATAAAATTAAAAATGGAATACAAGAAAGGTCCATGTGAGCATTCCAGTATACATCACCTGAGATTATCACCTAAGGAAATGAAATTTTTAAATCATGCTGCTTGCACAGGCTGGAAATATTTCAGAACAAAACAGCTTACTCAAATTATACTACCTTTCTCTGAAGTTTTAGCTTAGAAATAAGAGTTCTTGCAGTTGATAATAAATCCTTAAACTCATGCATAAACATTTAGCTAATTCCTGGAGTCGTATGTGAAGACAGGATAGTTTGCAGCTGTGAATTGTGAATGCTTTAAAAAAAAATTCAGTATTTCCTCAGATCAAACCCTAAATTGACTTGTTATGCTCTACTGTGGTGCATATACAGCTGTTAAATTCATTACTACATTTGGTGCAGTTTCATTATAGCAGCAACAATTTAACACCCCATAGTGGCAACTCTAAACAGAAAATTAAATTCAGCATTTGCTTAGTTCAAGCTATGAAAACTATCTGTATATGCATGAACATAAAATCTCTTTGAATAATAAGTTTACATTGATATGATTTTTTTTTTTTCCATGGGTATTAAAACAGATCAACTAGAGCAAGGCAAAAGAGGGAGGGAGAAAAGTCATGTACTGAGCAGTTATTGAACCTGATAGGTAAAGTACTGTCCAAGGGCAATTGTATGAACAACAGGAGTGATTAAGGAAATGGAGAACCGCAGTGAAAAGACTCAAACAGCTCCTGATTGATTACTTCAGAGATGAGATTGATTGCTTTAGAAGGGAGATTTGAGAGAGCTGTGTTGAAAACATACAAAATAATGAGCAGCACATGGGGAATGGTTGTAGGTTTCCATCCTCCTCTACTCCCCAAGCAGGGATGAGGGGAAGGAGCAATGCTATGCTTCAGGGCTGGGGGGCACAGTGCCCCCCTGCTATTCCTGTGGGGCCTGAGCCTCCACAGCCCCCAGCTGCAGCCCAGGGCATGGGGTGGGCAACCCCAGAGAGCCTGAAGGATGGCCTCCACCTGCTGTGTGCTTTCTTGCACCTTGCTCAAAAATTTGTATGAGCTGGAAGCATCCTTCCGGAGACAAATACTTAAAACGGTGGCAACAAGTTTCATTCTGTGTGATTATTCCCATCTACTGCCACAGATAAAAGCAGCAAGAATATATGGCTCTCCTACTTGAGACAAAAGAAATAGAGTAGCATCTAGATATGGCACAGATGCAGACACCAAAGCCAGGCAATCCCAAAGCCCTCCCCAGACTTGCTGTGAAGAGGTCACTCACCTCTCTCGGATGGTGCGGCTGCTTTCGTTCCACTGCATCCTTAATTATACTCATGTTGTAGGGCAACAGCAGGGACTTCAGGCTTCATCTCCACGCAACCACAGGCCAGCAGAGGTTGCATTAATACCACTGGTGCCAAGGTCTTTTAAAGATAGGAGATCCCACTGCAAGTCAAGGAAGAATTTTATTTTAGGGAAGAAAAAATAAAATCCTTTGGATGGCTTCTGACCCATACAATGAGATAGGGTTCAAATTCTGCAGCTGGAGTTTTTATCCAGTTTAACAAAAGTTACCAAGTAGCATGTCACAGAGGGAACAAAATATTATTTAATTTGGTATGCTTTCTAATGCAAAAGCATAAACAAAGCGACCTTTTTAGCAATTGATCACGCAGTAAAAGCAGCAAGTGTGCTCATGGTAATACTTCCCTGGCATCATGCTATGATGTTTACAACAATCTTCATCAGGCTCTTCCAAATCACTCTCAAAATGAGGCTAACAGATACCCTGGCAGGTTAATAGGACAGCTCTGCTTTCAGATGCTCATGCCAAAATAGGTCATTCATGGATATTAACAGCTAAGAACAGCGCTATTAGATTAAATTGCATATTTACCAGAAACATATTAAACATCTTGCCCTTAGTAACGTGTTTTTTTTCCCTCCTCTCTCTCTCTTAAAAGGACAATTATTTTATAAAACATTTATGGGAACTCAGAAACTAAAGTCAAAGAGGTCGTTAGGCTGCTTGTGAGCATGCCTTTTCCTGGATCTTGTTCTGAGCATTTGATTAAGGACAGTGACTGAAATTACAGGAATAAGACATTTCCCTATGCTGGTGAGACTCACAGATCTTTCAGGACAGGAGGGAGAATTGCATTATTTTATCTAACCTCCTATTAAATGCAACTAAAAGAATACTGGTCTAACCCTGAAGCTTCTGAACAAAACCGATCACCTCCTGGTGTTCAGGGTGGAAGTCACGGGACAAAGCACTGCTGTGCAAAAGCAGGGGGGCTTCTGCAAAGAGCAGGAGATGCAGCAGCGCCGCGGTCCTCAGCTCAGCAGGATGGAGCACTCTGCTTCCCTCACAGACACAGGGAGACAGCAAGGAGGCTGCCTCCCTAAATGCTGCTGGCATGGAGTCGAGACAGAGCATCGCAGGGTACCAGGACATACACATTCACGGAGGAAAACAAGACAGCAGCGTTGCTTCCTTCCTCTGCAAGCCCAAAACAGGCAGCAGCCGTGTCCATCTTAACACATCATCTCGAGTCCTGACTGAACCGAGCCCCTTTTCCGCACCATTTTAGTTGAATGGCGTTTTGTGATTAAACAAAGGAGGAAAACAGTGGTGCTAAAAATAAAAGTCAGCACTTACTGGCCTAAAGACCTGCTTCCAAGCTCGTGGCAAACATTCAGCTGGGCTCCTATGCGGCAAAGCTGAGGCATGCGAGCTCTATAAAACAATTGAGCAGTGACATTTTTATGCTTCTCCTAAACATTCCCCACTCTCAATATTGTTACTGCAGAATAGCAGCTGAGGTAAGGAGTTAAGGGCAATCTTACATGTACGGAGCCTCACCCTATGCTGAATTCTGCACGAATGCCACGAACACGTGCAGAACCTCACTGATTTCTACAGGCATGTGGGATAGTAAGAAATAAAATAGCTACTAAAGATATGAATAGCTGGTGGTGGCATCTCGCTCTTTTCAATGCACAGAGGTGCACACATGCAATGCCCGTTCTTTATGGCGAACAGGCTTGCAGGTGGGGAAACGTGGAGGTGGAAGACAGAAGAAGGGAGAGCCTCCCCAGTGCTGCCGAGCTTTTCACATGCCACTACAGGATTAGTAAGGCTGGGAAAAAAAAAAGAGCCATAGGTGAGGAAATATCTAGATATCGACTCCACTAACAACCTGCCTATTCTCGCACTTTAGGTCTCTTCAAGACAATACTCAAGAAGAAATTAACTCCGGATGACTCAACCACCCGCCTAAGTGCTGCTCTACATAATAGCCATTCTGCCTGACGTGGGCAGCAGTTCAAAAAAATAACAGAGAAATGATTGTGTATCTGCAAATACAAAGACTTGCTGCTGTTACTTCAGAAGTGCTTACTTCCCCTTGCCCATCACAGTGTAAAACATCACAAAAGCCATTTTGCCCTCAAGAAACAAACTTTAAAAATCAGAATTTGTCACAGGCAATTTATTTGAAACAGCTGAAAGAAAAGCTATGTGGGAAAGATGGTAAATGATCTTGTTAAGAGCCTCTGGAAAAGTACTGGAAGACGCTTGTGTCTGCACGAAAGAAAATTCTCATCAGGTGCAAGTTTACTTCCCAAAAAGTCAAGCTGAAAGCTTATCGGATTGGCAAAGGATTACCTTACTTACAGCCATGTAAGTAATTTAGTGACACAGTGTTGAAATAAGATAAGACTGGGAGTAATTAGATACTTATTTAACAGACAAAACAGCAGAATACTGTGCGAACACAGACTTTCCACCATCTGCTGCAGGCCCTTTAAAGGTCGTCTGGATCACCTGAAGTGCACTTGTGCCTGGTAAGCTTAATTAAGAGCTCAGTGTAGAGTTTCACAAAGAAACAAATTACTAATCCTCCAGTCAAAAACAGGCAAATACATATGTGTTTAGCTTAATGCTTTGCAAAGCTGCTCCTGACCGGAGGATTTTGCCTTGTTATGTTTGTGCAAAAGAGGGCTCACTGGAATACGCCAGGGCATTACCTCTGTCTCCAGGTATCGGGGAAAAAATTAAGTCAGCACTCTGAGATCTCAGTTAGTATTTCTGGAAATCTCTTCTCTTTAAGAGAAAAAAGCGTGCTTATTTCTAATAGTGTTTCCTGCAAAATCTGGACTGGCTGCCACTATGCCAACAAAAGCATGTTCCAGGTCTGTGTTTTAGCAGGGTTTGTTAATTCATTTGCCTCTGACCTCCAGCAGCCCTTCCTTTCTACAGCAAGAGCATCGAGCAGGTTATCGAACCAAACCAGTAACCTTTTAGGAAAGTAGCCTCCCCCTGCCTGCAGAAGCACTGGCAGCTTTGGGAAGCAAAGTCAAATTCTTGCGTTCAAACCAGAAGCAAACTGTCTCAGTTTGGCCAAGCCTGAAGAGAAAGAGCCCGCGCCACCTACCCAGCTGTAGAGCAACTACTCTTGGACAAGGTGGCCTCGCTCCTACTGCAGTGGTGCTGATGAGGCACCTTGGCTGCAGGCTACATATTACGTGAAACCCCAGTGCAGCAACCTGCTGGACCTCAGCCCTTTGGAAACAAGTAAACACATCTCTTCTCAAGGGTGACTTTGTCCCCTGAAGCGCAACCGAGAAGGGGGAAGCACAAGTCTGTGCTCTGTGGACCATCAGCACATCTCCTGTTGGTGGCAAAGGCCAGAGACATCCAAGACAACTGGAAAACACCGCTGTTCTCTCAAGTGTATTTCCACCAACACAAAGAGGGTATCATCATCTAACATTAGCAGCTTCTGATATTTCCTTCTCTTTTTTCCACTTAATCTTTCCACAGGCATTACCAAGTAGATGTAATTGTAGGTTCTGTTAGTGCCAGCGAAGCTTCTCTGAATTCCCTCTCTGCACTACACCTATCTGATGAAGGAACTGTTTGTTTGCCAACTTTTTCAGAGCGTGTGGAGCTCAGGTCCTCCTATACTGTGTGAAATATGAATGTGTGTCACGTTGTGTTATTATCACTTCAATCACTAACAGAAGTGGGAAAAAAAAATCACATCCAGTTCAAACAAAGTGATTTATTCTTCAAAATAGCTCCTTCTCAGTAAATTTCAGTGTTGGTTCAAAATAGCATTTGTCTAAATTCCAGAGGCGGAATTAACACCATATACTGCATGCAGCTGGACAGAGTAACATGCTCAGAAATGAAGAATCCATCCACATCTCCCTCAAACGGGAATTTACACTGGAATGTACTGGAATCATTGGAATCTTCTTTCCTGAGTCATAGACAAGTTTTTCCAATTTCTCTCCTTATGGAGTCTCAGAAATGACCAAGCACTCTTCATAAAACTTAAAACTATAAATTCAAAAATAAATATAAAAAACGTAAAACTATATATTTAAGAATTTGCTTGAATTTATGACATTTTAAAGTACTCAAATTACAGTGTACCAATATTAAAATATAAGATGTTAAAAAAATTCAAAATAAGCAAAAGGTATCAATGATGTTTCTAGTAGAGAGAAATGGCCTTAATCAATACAAAACTAACACCTAACATTATTCTTTCAGATCCTTCTTGACTTTAAAGCAAACATGAAGTTACATTTGGGATTGAGCCTGAGGTAGCTTGAGATCTGTCACAGTGACAGGAAGAATAGCTGGTAAATTAAGAAAACAATTCTCCTGTTGAAGTAGGTAAATGTTTTGTATCTGAAAGCAGTAACCAGCTCTAAATAAAAGCGCAAAAAAAAAATCTTTTGTAACCATGCAAAGCAGACATGCAAAAACTGACTGCAACAGCTGTAGTGTGTCACAGCATCTATAACTAACAAGGCTAAGCTACCTGGTACAGGTCTGTGTATGCCCTGAAATACTGCAACAAAGTTGGGGTTTTATTCTTCTTTTCTACTTCTACCTTTGGTTTTGTAACTTGATAAACGTTACCTCCCCACACAGCAATCAGCACTTTCAGAAAGTGGGGAGAAAGGAATCAGATTCATCCTCTTTCATTGCATAGATAAAGGTTTATCTTTAAAAAATATCTTCCTAACTTGGTCCAGTTTTTCTTTTGTCATCCCCAACAGCTTTTACTACACGAGGTTTTACAGCATATTACATGCTTTGTGTACGCTAACTCTTAGAGAGAGATCATTGTGTTTTATTCTTTGCTGTAGGGTAACGTTCAAGTATCCTCTCCAGGTATTAATAGCCAGAATAGTTGTTAATGAAATTATATCTTGTGTTCATTGTGTTAGATAAATGAGAACTTACCTATGATGTTACTGGGTTTTAAGAGACTCTTGTGAGTGCTTTTACACACAGGCTTGTTCTAGACTATAATACTGCTTATGGTTTAGATACTTATTTTATTAATGGAAATATTCAGGTTAATAAAATAAGCCCCCAAAGATTTCCACTTCCTACAGTTCAGGACAAGCTACACATCAAA